CTTGATTTTATTTTTTCAATTTTAGACTTTACCCAATTACTTTCTACCCAGAGGATGAAGGTTTAGGTCTCTTACATTCCTGCTCCAACCTCCAGTCCCATAACCCTCACAAAAAGTTTCCCTTCTCTCCTCTTCCCAATGTAATTATATAAAAAAAAATCTGTGGTTAAGTTAATCTTCCTCATTTATATTTACCGTTTAGGTGTTCATGGTTGACTCATTTTGGTGTATTATGATTAAGTTTCCTCTTTTTTTACTGGGTTTTTTCTTAGGGTAATAATAATTGCCTTTTTTGTGGTTTAGTTTATAATTAGCTCACAATTCAGCCTCAGCAGAGCCATAGAACTCATTTTGGTAAATGGAATACCCTAGGTAATTTATCAGTCTCTGTTCTCTCTGTCACTTTTTTTGCTCTCTCCTGCTTTTCTTAATGCTCTGCGGTAACAATTCTAATCTGAACCGGTTACTCTTTAGTTTATCTTCACACCCATCATTCTGGGATTTTCACTTCACCATCATTACAAGAATTCTCTTCATCTCTTTGTTGTGTTAGACCCTTTTTCTCTTTTCATTTTCCTCTGGTTGCTTTTGGAGAAAGGGTGCATGAGAGGTAAACTTTTTGAGAAGTTGTATGTCTGAAAATGTCTTTATTCTAAGCTCCTGCCTAATTGTTAGTTTAACTGGATACCAGATTCTAGGGTGGAATTTATTGAAACACAAATTACACTGATTGTTTTCTAGCATGTGTTATTGCTATTGCTATTGAAAATTCAAGTGACATTTAGATTCCTGATCCTTTTCATGTGATGATTTTTTTTTTTTCTGGAAACTTTTAGATTCTTGTTTTACACACAGGGTTCTGAAATCTCATGATGTGTGGAAGGCCATGGCTAGTCCTTTCCTAGGCTGTGATGGTGCAGTGAGAAATGGAAGGAGGAGGGACGTCATCGCTGTGGTACAGCATGGATTGCATTATATGGTGCTAGGTGGACCCTGAAGTGTGTACATAGCCTTCTCCCAGCCTGATGTTTGAAAGTTAGGATGCCGGGGGTTCTTTCCTTGGTCCTTCTCACCTTCAGGTTTCTTGCTCTGGGGCCGTGTTCACCCTTAAACTTAAGATTCTCCTGTATGAGGAACTAGAGAAGCAGTAGGGACCTACATCTACTCCATTGTATCTTCAATTTTATATACCTCCTCTACACTGGTAAATTAAGTAATTTTCCCAGTATAAAATTGTATTATTTTAACACACACTATGTAGTATAATGACATGGTAGCATTTTACGTAGTCCTTGTTGCCCATTTGTTCTTTGGGAACTCTGTGTGTGCTAATTCTTCCTGAGGAATGGAGTTCTAATTTCAGTTCTATTCATCACCTCAATAGTCATGTTATGGCAGATAGATAGATGATAGATGTTCACTTGTTCCCTTTAATCTGCTGAATTTTTTCCAGGTAGGGCTTTTACTATCATTACTAGTACTAAGCTCTATGTCATGATAAAAGGGGCTGTCTGTATTGATGTGGACAGGGTTAAGGGAAACCAACTCTAGCAACAGCAACTAGTGCTTTAGCAGCCCTGAGCATGAAGAGCTAAGGAGGGGAAGAGCTTATTAGACTGGAGAGATTATCTGTGGGGGAGAGGTCTGTTGATGAGAGCTGTGGCTTTTGATAAAAAGCCACAGCTGACAAGTGGCAGTCTGGCAGGGAGGAAGACAGAAGAATAAATGCCCAGCCCTTACCATCCCACCCTCCAGTCTCCTGGTGTCTGCCAATGGTGTTACACCCACTGGAAGCCAGTGTCAAGGGCATCCTTTGATGTAGTCCATAAAGGTTAGCCTCCTGGGGCACTGAGAAGGGTGGAAAATGGTGGTGGAGACTCTCCAGCCCAGTCAGGTTTTAAGATGTTTTTGGAACCTAGGGACATTCTATTTTTGGAAGAAGAAAGGTTAGACTGGAAGAGCTAAGTGTGACCCTCATGGACAGATCTGTCTTACAGGGAGTTGATTACTTATCTTTTACTCTGAATATTTGAATTAGTTTGCAATTAACTGACTTTTATGTTTTCTATAGAATTTGTAACATATACCAATCTTATTGTTAGAATAACATTTGTTGCTAAACCTGCCCATTTTCTCCCTTCTCATTGCTACAACTTGCCAATGAATACCATATTTTTTCCTGCACATCTATTAGCTTTTATAGCACTCTTCCCGATGCAAAAAACAGCTAAGTATGTATCTATATCAGGCAATAGGGGATGTATGCAGCATCTTAGCAATTTCATGTTTATTCTACATTCCTCTCATTTCTATTCGAGATGAATAGGCGCACACTGCCTGGTTCAGAGTGATTGTAACAATTTTTGCCTTTCAAGGGAAAGCTCTCAGTAGATGCTTTCCTCTGCAGCCTTTCTTACCTAAAGATGTGGACTTTGTTTTGATTAGAATGTGTCCTGCTTTTAACAGTGGGTGTTTTCGTTTTTAGGTAAGTGACAGTTTGCTCTTTGATACCTCAGATGACGAGGAGCTGAGAGAACAGCTGGATATGCATTCGATCATCGTCTCCTGTGTTCACGATGAACCCCTCTTCACCGCAGATCAGGTATAAAGGAGATATTCATTAACATAAGGAAAGGTGACTCTAGAGCTGAAAATTGATTTCTTATTGTGGCAATAAATGATGGCTTTTGGAATTTACTTATTTTTCTTATATTTTCTAGTTTATACAGGCTTAACAGTCAGCTCTTCCACTGAGGGGAAAAAAAAAGAAAGTATATGTAATCTGAAGCAGAAGGGATTATGTTACTTGGAAAGATTTCCAACATAAGCATTGTTAAAGAGTACAGCAAGTTAGTACAGGAAGTTACTAAGGGAGGGGTATTACTTAAAATCAGAAAAATCATGTGAATTTCCTGGTTTCTTTAGATTTATCCATGCATGGAAAAACTATAAAATATCTGTAGAAATTATTTAATTTCTTTAAAACCCTGGGTAAAAATCATTAGCACTTATTAGAAGTACATATTGTGTACCCCAGAAAGAAGTGAGCATTATTCTTATGGAATGCTCTAATAATGTCAACTCTGTATTCATTTAAAACCAGTTGAATCAGCTTTCTCATTTTCTGAATACTCTTCCCACCTCTGTTGTATTGTCATAATGTGATGCAAGAACTTCTTCCTGAAATAAAATATTCCATGGATACTCGAGCTGTGCATTCTACCACAGTCTATTTTTAGGCTGGAAAGACAAGGTCAGTAAGGAGATATATTATGGCAAGGTTGGGAGGAGTACATTAGAAAGGTACATTAAAATATTGTCATTTTGATGCTCCTTGGTCATATCTGTGGTTGGATTGTTCTAGGCCTGGAAAGAATGTGGTGCTTAAAACGCAAGGTAATAATAGGTTGGTGGACTGTTTTGAGGTAGCGCGTGATATTCCAGGGAAGGACATGACCCTGAGAGTTCATTGTCCCCTCAGTGATCTGCCTGAATGCCACAAACTATCCCTGTTTTTGAGACTCAGAGTAACAGATTTTGTGGCCCCCTTGAGTGTCTCATTGTAGGATTTTACAATGCCTATTTTGGAAAGTCTTCTCGTACTTAACATTGTCCTACATCCTTCAGATTTGCTTTTGTTTTTCCTCAGTAGAAGTGTTAACTGTTAAGCTTGTTGGTTCATAAAGCGTGTTAAATACACTCATAATGTTTTACTCCTCCATTTAATTGTATTTAATAGTTTTTTTTTTTT